AATTGAAAGACACAAGGCTAGATTGGTTGCAAAAGGATTCACTCAAACCTATGAAGATGATTATAGGGAAACTTTTGCTCTGGTAGCTAAGCAACACACCGTAAAAGTTGTTCTCTCTTTGGCTGTGAACTTGGATTGAGAATTGTGGCAAATGGATGTCAAGAATGCTTTCCTTCAGGGGGAGTTGAAAGAAGAAGTTTATATGATACCTCCTCCGGGTTTAGAAGACATAGTGGCTCTGGGAAAGGTCTTAAGGCTTCGGAAAGCTATATATGGACTAAAACAGTCTCCAAGAGCCTGGTATCATAAGTTAAGCTCTACCTTATTGGCTAATTGCTTCAAGAGATCACATTCTGACCATACTTTGTTTACTAAACAAGATAATCAAGGTATCGTAGTAGTTCTAATCTATGTTGATGACTTGATTATCTCGGGAAGTAACAAAGAAGGTATCCAAGCTATTAAGTCTGCTTTACATTCTTCTTTTGATATTAAAGATTTGGGTGTTTTGAAGTACTTTCTAGGGATCGAGGTGTGTAGATCAAAGGAGGGATTGTTTCTCTCACAAAGGAAATACGCCCTCGATCTCCTAAAGCTTACAGGGAAACTTGGAGCTAAACCAGTGGATACACCACTAGAGCAAGGATACAAGGTCAATCGAAAGGGGGAGAAGGATGATACTCCATATCATTGCCCGGAACAGTATAGAAGACTTGTAGGTAAGCTCATATATTTGACATATACTCGGCCTGATCTCTCTTTTGCCGTGAATCAGGTGGCTCAGCATATGCAAGCCCCTACGGTGTACCATTGGAGTTTGGTGGAGAGAATTCTGAGATATATCAAAGGAAGTCCCGGCAAAGGCATTTGGATGGGAAGAAACTTTAGCACGGAAATTGTTGGGTACTGTGATGCAGACTACAATGGAGATCGCAACACAAGGCAGTCCACAACCGGCTTTTGCACTTTCATTGGTGGCAATCTTGTAACTTGGAAGACAAAGAAACAGAAGGTGGTGTCCTATTCGAGTGCTGAAGCGGAGTATAGGGCTATGAAGAAGCTCACAAACGAGTTGACATGGCTGAAGGCTCTACTAAAGGACTTTGGGATCGAGCAAAAGACGCCAATTACCTTCCATTGCGACAACCAAGCAGCCATCCATATTGCTACTAACCCCGTGTTCCACGAGAAGACCAAGCACATAGAGACGGACTGCCACAAGACAAGAGAGAATATCGAAGACGGTACAATCCTTCCTTGCTACACTACGAGTTCGGACCAATTGGCCGATATCTTCACCAAGGCAGCAAGTAACCAAGTTTGTCAATTTATCCATGGCAAACTTGGTCTTGTAGACCTCACACATCCTTGAGAAAGGCTCCCTAACTCGTTGGGACAATACTCTTTTTCTCTAGGCTTGGTTTTGTCCCACGTGGTTTTCCAAGCTTAGGTTTTTAATGAGGTTGTTCTTGCGAGTGCCAAGTTTATACACAATGAGTATTGTAGTATAAACTTGAGGGGGAGTTGATATACTCTATATTTACCGCTTTATCATGGTTGTTAAGATCCATTTTATTGTGTTTCATTAGTATTTTCATTGTGTTTTGTTGTATTTAGTGTCCAAGTGAGTCTTCTTCCATTTTAGAAGTCCTATAGTGTCTTTGTTTGTCTTTTGTTGTGTTTTGTGTGTCTTTTGAGCAATTTCAGGTTAAAATAATGGATGACACACATTTGGATGCAAAGAAGAGAATTGATGATTCAGAACCAGTCCGAAGTCCCTCAAAGATCGACTCAGATGGAAGTCTTTCATTGCGATTTAGCTTCAGAGCTCTTCATACAAGTTATAGGAAATTGAGTTACCTTTCTAACGGAGGTGATTTCAAGCGAATCAGAGCTTCGATGCAAGAATTATGGTGGTTTTAATGGAGATATATCACTCTGGCGCGGAAAAAAACAAAGGAGGAGCCACTGAACATTTCAATCGACCTGTTGGTCGATTTAATGGTCGATTGGGACGATAACAGGCCGCAAACGAGAAGCAATCGAGGGAGAAATCGACCGATGCATCTATAGAAGCCTTTGCAAATTTTTGGGTTTGACCCGGTTTATCTCGTGTCAACCCGGTTCGATTCTATTTTGTATTTAAGCAATTTTTAGACATTTTGTAACCTAAGTTTTCTTCTCTAGAGTTGGATTTAGATCCAAACTCTCTTCTTGATATTTTGGATTGATCTTCAACAATTCATGCCACTTTAGTGAAGGATTCTTCATCTTTATCTTGTATCTTTATGTTTATGCATTTTCTTTTATCTTTCACCATGTTTAGTAGTTAGTCTTTTTGTTGGATCATGGGTTATGCTAGATTAGGATAATTTGATGGTTAGATGATGATGATTTAGGTTGCTTATTGTTAGATCCTTCATCTAGGTTGCTCTTAATGCTAGTTTTGACTTGATCACTCAAAATCTAGACCTTAAGCAATTCATGCCCGGAAGGTGTTTGTGAAAATGCTTGAACCAAACCTTTATGAGCTTTACATATCTAGCCAACGGGAGTTGATGATTAGAGTGTTTAGTGAACCAATTGAACTTGTTATTAATGCTCAATGATCATTTGATTGCGAACGGAAGTTGTTGATGATTAGATGATTAGTGAAGTGATTAGTACCATGGAAGTGGATTAGTCATATTTTTGAGTTTCATGTTCTAGGATGGTGCTTAATTCAACCTCTTGCATCATTGTTTGATTGTTAGTCCATTCTCATGATAGTTAAACCCATGGTCCAATGCTTTTCTTTATTTTACTTCTTGCTTTCTTATCTTTTCATCAAAACAAAAACATAAAAATCATTTCCTCTAGATTAGTTTGAATCTCGCATCTTTAGTTGCAATATTTATTCCTTGTGGTTCGACATCTAAAATACTTCCGCGATATATCGTTGATGCATTTAGATTATTAATTGATAAAAACGCATAGATCAGGAGTGTTAATCAAGAAGACATTTAACACTTGGGTTACTCGGGTTACAGGTTACTTGGGTTACTCGGGTTACAAGGCTGAATGAGGGTGCTGTTGGTCTTTGTGCACAACCCATCTCAGACCTAGATTATGTTCTCTATATAAACGTGTGTGCCTCCTCATTGTGTGATACACATCTTTCATCAATACATTTCTGCTTCTCTCCAATCTTAAATCATGGTTTCATCAATCTTTCCTACTTAAATATTAACAGGTATCACCCTCTCCCTCTCTGCCAACTACAACAACTCATCATCCGCTTAGGCGTCGCTTACTTCAAGCTTAAACACCCACATTTTAAGCTTGCATTCGGTAAAGACACTTTCTCCGGCACTTTCAAGCCCGTCTGGCTATACAACTCTTCAGAGATTAGCATCCAAAACGCTACTACATGCGAAGTTTTCGACTTTTCCACCAATGCTTGGAGGTATGTCACTCCCTCTGCTCCTTATCGTGTCCTTGGTCTCCCTGATCCTGTCTTTCTAGATGGCTCCCTTCATTGGTTCACCGACTGCCAAGAAACCAAAATTCTATCCATGGATCTTCACACCGAAGCCTTTCAAGTCATCTCTAAAGCTCCCTTTGCCGACCATGTTGTTAGGCCTTACGATATCGTCATGTGCAACCTCGACAACCGCTTGTGTGTCTCCGAGATGAAGTGGCCCAACCAACTCATTTGGTCTTTCAATTCACCAACAAGACATGGGACAAATTCTGTTCCATTGATCTTCATCTCACTTCTCATGGGTTTGGTAGCCACGTATGCGCCCTCTCCCCACTAGCACTTCTCCATGGGAGTAATAATAAGAAGAATAAGTTGTTGCTTTATTCTCGTGAGTCCAGTCTTACACTGATGGTACTTGATCTCCATACCAAATCCTATCATATTGCTTGCGATTCTACCTCCATGGGCCATCCTGTTTGCTATTTCCAGAGTTTAATCTCTATTTCATAAATTTTATTTTTTTACAAGAATAAAAACACTGCTTAGTAATATATTTCTCAATTTTTGCATTTTGGTTTAATCTTTGCTTCTTAATTCCATCATCTACTTCAGTGATCACCATATATATATATACATATCTTCTTGAATTTTACACTTGAGAATGACACAACTTGATGCTAATTGACTGTTTTTTTGGGGAACTTGAATTTGGTGTGCACATACTTCTTGTTGTTTTACCATTTATTTTTCTTTGGTGGAATAAATAAATCATATGGTTTATGTAAGAATGAATTTGACAGAAATTTATTATGTCCACCGGCAGCTACTAGCTCTGTTTTCATAAAATCTGCCAATTGTTTTACTTCAGCTATTCCTTGTCAAAGTAGCAAAACCAGGTTTTGAAATTGGGAATTTTATCCTTTTGAGGATTCTTTAGGTGTTGTTGAATCAGAGGAATGGTGGTCGTGAGAGGTAATGAAGTGGATAAGCGGTTTAAGCATAGAGATAATGAGTGGGATCTCAAGACTTGGAATTGCATTCAATGCCCTTCTATGCAAAGGCAGATCCTTTTCTTCTCTTCTGCATATCGTGATCCAGTTGTCCAAGGTTAGTGGCTTCTCAAGCTCTCATTCATTACCCTTCAATGGCAATAGATACTCCAGGCATGAGGTTGCTCTGGCTCGGGTTATGCAGCAGACATGCCTACGAGCCTTCCTTCTTCCGTTTGGTGATTTTCTTGGTTCAGAAAAGAAAGGGGAAAGTGTTGCAAGATTGATCAGAATGTGTTCTTCTACTTGTTGGTAACTCATGATAACGTGAAAAACCTGAAACAGAACAGGATAAAATCATGCTGGGAGCTGTGACAAGATCAGTGAATTGGGAGCTTTTTTTGATAACAGACGGCAATCTTATGTGGTTACATAGTTTATTTAGTTACATAAGTGGTTACTTCTTTGTTTAAACCACTGTATCGTTGAACTCTTGGTCGTCAAACCATGATAGCTTAGCGAGAGAGGAATTGTATAATTGGGCTGCGTTTACAAAATCCAACTTAGGGTGTGTGCAGTTTACAAAATCCAACTTATGGTGTGTGCAGTTTACAAAATCCAACTTGAGTTCTACCAGTAAAGCGCATTGTACAATATTTTTGAAGCTTTTACAACGGTACAATACATATATCGGTGCTACATCTTCATACCATGCCCGACTCTATATCGGTTTTACCAATTCTTTGTTCCAATCCAGCTCTTCCTGTCATATAGTTGTAGACAAGTTATAAGAGACATTCTCATTTTTAACACAACTGTAAAAATAAGATTACCCAGCGAAATAGTAATGGTATCATAACAGGTTGAAGATACAAAATTGAGAAAAGAGAAGTAGCATCAATAATACAGATCAAGCTATGCAGCACATGTAACCAAGAATCAGTTTCAGATATATCAATCTTTCAACATAGAAGCAACAAATTCATCCTTTTTCATAGTCCATCCACAAGAAAATTCAAAAGTGATAGACTAGTAACAAAATGTTTACATGCTATGTTAGGTGTAACACAAAGAAACGAACAAAAGAACTTTTCTAAAGCTAAAACATATCTAAAACATATTTAAACTTTCACATTCTAAGCGCATCAACCAAATCAATACACTTGCATGAATTTGATTTATTGTTTTGATAACTTCAATTTTAATTTATCATGAACAAATCCAGCCATAATCAAGATCATGTTCTGCTACTGTTTTCACTTTAACCTCGAAGAAAAACAAAAGGTTACCTTCTGAGAACATCTGGTTGATGAATCCTAACCACTGCACTTGTCCATGGATTCTAATTTTGTATGATCGACCAAAATCACTATAACGGACGATCTGAAAAACCAAAAACTCCCATCTTTCGTTTTTCTCGGCGAAAAAGAATTTGATTCGTAATGTATTCTGAACTAAATTACAAAAGCAGGGAACTAAAATCTCTAGTTCTAAATTTTAAAGATATATTTTATTTTTTGGTAAGGATTGTAAAGATATTTTTTAATCAAGGCTCTGATTTTTTTATAGAGAATCGCCAAAAATAAAATTAATAAAGAAGCTGTAAAATAAATTGGACTAAATCATTAATAAAGAAAAAAACAAAACATTCACACACACACACACAACTTATAGAATTGGTATTTTTATTTTATTTTGTCATTCAGTTGCAAAATGACAAAATGATTGAACTAATTGGTGATGATTCATTTCACTGTTTGTTTGCCAGTTCTAAAAGATAGTATATTTATGTTATAGATAATAAATGTATTTTTTGTTAAACGTAAACCAATACTTTTCAATAATTTACCAAATTCCTACATATGTCTTACGTAAAATTTATTTTACTTACAGTTATTCTCATCAGTTTTCATAATTGATCATGTACTCGTATGAATTAACATAACTTAAAACAGAACAAAACAAAATCATTAGTAAAGAGAATGTGTAATAGAAATATATATGAAAATATTAATATAAAACATTTTTTTTGTTACATCGATTATTATTAGACATTGCCTTAAACATAGGTGTTAAATTGAGTTTGAGGAATAGCCAAAATAAAATGACAATATTAGTTTTAATATCTCCACTAAAAGGTCAAAGGTCAAAGAGATGGATCAAATGAGAAACCTGGACAAGCCTACCTTATCACCAGTTTCTTTAACATCACGTTCACTCTGCTCTTTGTACTCTTTGAAACTGAATCTTTTATACTTCTTTGGATACCCGAAGCATTCGATCTCGGTTTCGAGATAAGGACATACGAAGAAGGCTATCGACATTCTCTCGATATTTGCCGGAGAAATCACTCTATGTCTCACGCTCTCGTACACTCCATTACTCAATGCCTGTTGCACATATGATCATAATTAACTTGCACAAAATACATAGATCCGATTTATATATTTCTGTCAAGGACATTAGCGTCGTCTGAATTATAATTATAATATTAATGTTTCTTATAAAATCAGTTAGAGTTTTTACATCATGAATCGGTAGATCTTACCTCATGTGTGTTAGGGACTAAGAATCTCATGCAAAATCTTGGCCCCTGATAATTTTCTAGGGTTTCCCTCAATTTATTTTTTATGATCAATACAGTTTATAGAGAAACCATTCGATAAAATAAAAGATCTATATAATTACTTCATAACTATATTCAAAATTCTATTGAACAACAGAAACAATTGATAACACATGAAATTTTAAGTGGCGCATAATATAATTAAGCATATATATGTGTCTTACAATTTTTGTATTAACAGTATCTCTCGTAACATTTTACCTATATATATATATATAAATATATATATATATATATATATATATATATATATATATATAAATGAAATAATATACCAGCAAAACTTCTATTGAAGTTATAGGATGTGCTTTATTCTAAGTCATTGGATTGCATTTTAGTCATATACAGTTTAGAATCTTAGAAATTAGTTCGTGGTTGCAAATTAAAATGAGACAGGGCAATAGTTAACCTTATAGGACTTGAAACGTTGAATCAAATGGTAGAAGTTACCTGAAACATATCCCCAATATTGACTGTAAGGGCTTCCGAGCAAGGTTTTACGTTGATCCATTCTCCATTTTTTTTCAGTTCTAATCCTCCGATTTGATCTTGAGAGAGTATAGTGAGGAAGCTTGTATCGGTATGAGGAACCAAACCAAACACTTCAGAACCAAAAACACGAGGATGGTACTTATTGAGCCTTAAAAAACTGTTTTTAAGCTCAAAAATGTTTTCGAAATACTCCGAGTTCACGTTCACTTGTTTCCCGAGTACTTCACATATCATTTGTGCCACTCGAGTTATCTCTTGCACATACGTTTCAACGGTTGTTCTGTAAAAAGAAAAAATATCAATTAATATTAGTGTAACGTTTCTACTCATCTTTGTAAGTATAATGATATATATCCTATACTATTATTTGGGGAGTACAATTTACAATTACTATTAATTAATTTTCCCTTTTGTAAGAATTTACTTAAGAATGCCATTAGAAATAAAAATTTATAGAGTAAATTAATTCAACTCATTAAGGATAAACAATTCAAATACTATTTTATGCAATTTAATGAATTTAATTTAATTATAAAAACGAAAATCTATTATTAATTTCTTTAAAAAGAATGACCAATCAAAATGAACATATAAGATTATCTAACTTACCATATTAATTTGTTATTAATCATTATACTTCACCTTTCATCTTTATATGATTCTATTTCTATAAATAAATAAATCATTATATCATCTATATAATAAAAGAAAATGTAAATTTTTTCCGCATATACGAAGATTTGAATTTTTAAAGACGAATATAAATTATTCAATGTATGAAAGAACAAATTTAACAGGTCAAAAATTCATATTTGAGTAATATATTCCTTTTTTTTTTAATATCATCAATACTTAATAGATCAAAAATTTATGAAGTATAAATACCCTAATTTGATTTTTTGAAACAAATATTTATAATAGACGGTGGGTTGAATATAATATATTATATGATGAAATGAGTTATGATCCTTATAACTATTTGAATATTTATATTTAATTTCATATCATTTTTTTAATTCATAATTTTACATACTATAATACAAAATTTTAAAGATTTTAAATTGAAACATTTAAAAAAGTTTAATTTAATATATCAAAGAATATCATAAATATTTAATAAATTAAAAAGATAAATAAACTATAAATACATTAATTTGATTTTCTAAAAAGATATGTTTAAAATATTTATAGTAGGCGGCAGATTTTATGATGAGATAGGTTAAATAAGGTTTGACACTTCTAAATATTTGAAATTTGATTCTGCAAGCAATTTTGAAAATAATAAATAATAGATTGTGCCACAATATTTTCATAGGGATTTAAAATGAAAATATATACTCCACATACGAATTAAATTTGGTATTATTATATACCAAAATATATGTTCATAACATATTTGATTATGTGAATAATTGGTAAATTCCGTAATTGGCTCAAACAAATCTCTATTTCAACAATCAATGAATTAGAATTTGAAAAAATAATTTCCTAAATTAATTCAAAATAATAGCTAATTTTCTTAAGTAATTCAAAATAATCTACGTTTTAGATGCGACTCATTTATGATATTTTGATTTTTGATCTAACTAAATTATATGCACTCTCATTTTGTGGTTGTTAACATAAATTAACTCATTGTTCAAATAATATTAATTCTTTTAAAAAAATAATCTTATTTTCCGTTTTCATATCTTAAAAAAAATATCCATAACTGAATACTATAGAAAAGGAAAAATATATTCATTCTAATCTACTATACATTTTTGCAGCAGTTTTTGGGGTACCCAAATCGGGTCAAATTTATTTAATTTTGACCCGGAAATCTTCAATCGGATCTTTCCTTAAATTTTGGCAAAATTAAAAAACGAAAATAATTAATAAAATCTAAAATATATATACTTTCTCAACTAATTACTATATTTAAACGCTTTATTTATGGTATATTCTCCATGATTTTTATAGATAAAGAAATCAAATATGATGATTTAATGCTAATATAACAAATTTGCACTAATTTCCTAAAACCTCTCTACCTAATTTAAACATAAATATATGATTCTTATTTCACTTTTATTTGATCTTATATTTATACTATTTTAAATTATTATAAAATATATAAATAGTTAGTAAATTTTAGTTTTTTTTTTTCTGCATATGTTACAATTCAAATTTTTTAAAACGGACATATATTACTCAATCGATGAATAAAAATATGTGTGTAATCTATATTAACATTTTTAAGAACAAATTGAGCATTTAATCATGTCGTTATTTTATTCAGATCCGAAATTGAGTCATTCGGATCTTTCTTTAATTTTTACAATTATCTAAAATGGGACAGTATATCACGGGTGAAATCCTAATTAGTATTTTAAGATACAATTATAAATTTTTTTTACGGGTTGGTCCAAAAACACACACTAATTTAAAAATATACATGGAAACTATTTGAAAGCAACTTTCAAATTAACTCGAATTATATGACATTTAAATAAAAGTGTTATTAAAAAAATAACAAAATGATGTTTAATTTCATTTTAGATTATATGGTTGGACGGGTTTGGGTCAATATTAATACGAGACAATATACCACAGGTGAATTCCTATAAATAACAAATCAAAATACAATTATACAATCTTAAACACTAAACAAAACAAATACAACTTAAAATTTTTTATTTTAGATACAACGCATGTTACCCGCAGTATACAACAAAAAATATTATACACAATAAATTCATCAATTTATAAAAATAAAAAAATCAAATAATTAACCCGCGGTGTACCGCGGGTCATATCCTAGTATTATATATAGGGACTGACAAAAAATATTATTTTTCACTTACTATTATAATATATCACAACTTTATTCTAAAACATAAAATTTATAAATTTTGTAATAAATGAAATTCAACCCGTACTATAGTACGGATGATGATCTAGTATGATTTTTTATTTTTATGTATAACTTACAATATATCTATATATATAAACTATATCAAAGTTTACCTTAAGTACTAAAGAATTACAAGTGTTGCTATATATAAATACTACTAGATTCCACGCTTATAAACCTTGCTTGATGATCTTCCAAAGACCCATAACAATTTCATTCCAAAAATTGAAAACCTTGATTAAAAAAAGATTACATTCCAAAAAATTAAAATCTTTCTATATACTCCCAACAAATTTCATAAAAAAAAGATCTAGAAAATAATTGTTGACAATGAAGGAAAAACGAGTACTGTAGTTGTGACTGGCTAAAAACTTTAGCCTGGAACGAAATTACCTACTAAGCAAGAGTCAACTATTATCTTCATAAGAACTAAAGAAAATTCAAGAATTAGGGTTTCATGTGACAGAATTCAATCAATAAAGTTAAAAATCTTATAATTACAATACCTCAGGTTGTTGCGATCATCAGAAAACTTTGAAATCTCTGAAAGAGTGATGTGAAACGCTTCCGAAACGGAGTATTGAGCGGGGGAAGTGGCGTTAGGGTTTCCCCACCTGTAACTATTCTTCGATAAGTCCGAGAACGTTTCTCGGACTTTCGCAGAAAAGGGTAGGTCAAAGAGTTTCTTCTCTTCGAGAAACATCATCTCAAAGACGTCTTTAGAAATTCCATGGTTCACAATTTGAAAAAATCCCCACTCTTTCGCAGCTGCAACCATTTGTTTCACACATCTTTTGCGTTTGACCTCCTCGCCACTAGTTAGATGGCTGAGATCAATCACAGGAAGCTTTAAGCCTCCGGTTTGGATAGTTGATGTGTTTGTGTTGCTATCACTAATTTGTTTTGGAAAGGAGCTTCCGAAAATCGAGCAGAAATTTGTCTTAAAGGGAGGTTGAGAAGCCATATGTAAAAGCTATTATTGTAAAGAAGAAATGAAAGTTGAGAAGTGATTGTTTTCCATACGATTCTTATATTTTGCTTTATATTGATATGTAAGAGGAAGAACCCCCCTCTCTATATATAGATATTAAATTTCATGTGTCGCTGTCCAATCTTCTCTAGATGGAAGCAAATTATTAAAGGAGTCGTAAACTGTTGGAGAAATAATGAAATAATATTTAGGGTTGATGCACAACAATAACAACATGTGTGTTTTTAAGAGAAGAAGAATTAGATTTATGTTTAATCTGTCTTTAATATGTGTTGAGATGTAGTAGTATTTTTTTCTTTTCTTTAACGTAGTTAAATAATATTACAAGACTAGAGTTGGAGGTGGATTCGGAGTTAGTGGTTGGGTTTCTCGAGAAAGGGATTGGTGATTCGCATCCCTTATCGTTTCTGGTGCGTTTGTGCCATGGCTTTTTATCAAGGGACTGGATAGTCCGGATTTGTCACGTGTATAGGGAGACTAACCGTCTTGCTGATGGGTTAGCTAACTATGCTTTCACTTTATCTTTAGGCTTTCATTCTTTGGAGTTGGTTCCGAATGTTGTAGAGACGATTTTAGGGGAAGATGATCGAGGAACTACGTTTCCAAGGCATACCCGATTGTAGTTTTATTTTAGTTTTTCAATTAATAAATTTCGGGGAGAATTTTCTCCTCGGGTCTCACCAAAAAAAAACGTAGTTAAATAATATTTAATTCCGATGATTTAAAAAATACAAATAATTAGGTGATCGTATTAATTACAAATTCCATATATAATAGGAAGTACCTATATATGGTCAATTATTTTATTAATATAGTATGATGCATTTAATTGTACACTACATTGCCGTTCAAACAAACAGAATTAAGTGCACAAATCTTCCCATTAATTTTCCCAAATATAAATATAATGGGCCAACGAAATATTTCAACTAGGAAAATAAATGTCTTAATTATTTTCATGTAGATATCCGTAATTATTTGATGGTCGATATGTGTTTGAGAAAGTCCATGGTGACTCTATGAACGACTTGTTCGTGCATTTAAGATAATTTCTCAATGCAATGAAAAACCACGTGTTTATGTCTCTATTTCTCTTTTTCCCCTAAAAGATATTTTCCTTTTTTAGAATAAAAAAAAACAACAGAGAATATCGCGATCGATAAAACTCTTGAAAGTACTAAATAGCGACATAAAATGAATTATATAATGCATTTTTATAGCCATTTATCCAAGTTACCGTATCTTTTTTTGCCATTTGTCACTCATGTCGACAAGTCTTTGCTTGAAATTTGGGGGACTCTTCTCTGCACTTTAGCCTCCTCTTTAAATTTATAAATATTTTCATTTTGTCCTGTTTCTTTTTTTGTTAGCTCACCAAATTAGAGAAAAAGAAATTTGAAAAGTCAGATGTACTAATACTATTAACATCTATCTATTATCTAAGCATTCGTTTACTCAATTTAGCAGCGGTTTGCTTGCCAAAAGTTAATCCAAACAATATTTTCTTCTTAGGGCCTGACTGGTTCAAACGCAGCGGTTGCGGTTGCGGTTGCGGGAGTTTGCGGAAGCGGGCGGTTGCTGTTTCAAGCGTTACCAAGCGTTTTGAACGATTGGTTTAGCGTTTGAAAATGGATGCGTTTGCGGAAGTTTTATGACTGGTAAACCAGCGGATGCGGTAGCAATTAAATAAAACATGACTAAAAAAATAAAAAATATTACAAAAAAAAAGAAATAAAAACACCAATATATTATTATGATAATATTAGAAAAATTGAACATGCTTAATAATTAAAACCATAAATAAAGTACTAAATAATTATTCAAAAATAAAGAAATTTTATAATAAGATAATACTTTATGCTGGGTTAACACCAAAAATTGTATCAAGTAATGGGACAAACTGTAAATAACGTTGAATTCAATCAAAAAGCAAGTAATTTTTTATTCGAGAAAACAAATCGAAACATATATTCAATCAAAAAGAAAAGCAATATATAATGAAAAGAAAAAAATATTCAAATTGATTTTCATCAGTTTGGGTGGAAGACATTGAGAAAATAAGGTTTTAGAATATTGATTAAGGTTTCTGATGAGAACGTGATACAAAGATGAAAGATATATATAAGATTAATATATTTTATAATAACTATAAGTAAACGTTTGATTTTTTTTTTTTTTAAATCCAACCGCTACCGCCCGCAACCGCAAACGCTTGCGGGAAGGAGCTTTTGAAATTCAGTGATTTAGAACGGTTTGAAGCGATACAGAGCGGTTTCTATGATTGGTACCAACCGCTAACAACCGCAACCGACCGCTAGCAACCGCTAGGAGGGTGCTAGCGGGAGAACCAATCAAGCCCTTAGTAATGGGTTAATTAGACCTGACTAATTGGAACAGATTGAATTTTAAAATTCGGTTCTTTTTTTTAATTTTGGTTTTCACGGGATTAATCTTTTCAGATTTTATATATTTATGCAGATAAAAAAATTGTCACTAACTTCAAACCGAGATCATTCCAGATCGTGGGAATAAAGTGTCTAATATTGGTTCGAGTTAATTATCTTTGTGCATTTGAGAGATTTTTCCAATGTTATAATTTATACGATAAGATAAATGTGTTTACTATTAAACTGTTTAACCCTTTTAATCAATTACAGATTATGATTATTCATGTATTTACATTACTCCTTTTTTGAATGAAAAAAATAAGAACTTTTCATTATAATTTATTTTCTTGTGGAACCAGTTGTAAGGAAACAATTATCGCGCCTAGAATCCTTCACAATTTTATACAATCGAGAAGACAACATCAAAAAATTTGATGTAAAAAATTAAAAAATATTAGAGATGAACTTCAACAAGAATACAAATTAAAGAAGAAAAAAAAACGAAATAACACTAAAATCATATTTCACAAAAAAAATTAGATATATATATATATATGCTGTTTATATAATTATTACTTTACGATATAGATTAAACCATATATATATATATATATATTATTTTACTATCTTATCAAATTGTATTAATTATTACATTGGTCCAACCCTTGTTCTAAAAATCGGCCGCCTAGGCGCTGATCGGAGGAGCACTGCAGCAATTTTGTCCAAATCGGTGAGAAAAATCGGAGATCCGATTTTTCGTCCGCCTAGACCGCCTAGGCGGCCGCCTAGCCCGCCTAGACGGCGCCTAGCCCATTTTTTTTTTTTTTATCTAAAATTCAAAACGTCCTACTTATATTCGTAATTTGTATAAAAATCATAAATTTGAAATTAAAATCTTGTTTTCATGTGTTTAATACAATTTTTAAAACAATATTATATAAATTTCTTAATTATAATGGATTAATATGTTTTTAAAACATTAAATAGCCCTAAAACTAATCCCCGATTAATCCCCGTGTAATCCCTGATTTTCTTGCTAGGCGCTAGGCGCACCCTCACCACCCGACTAGCGCCTAGCGATTTTTTAAACACGGGGTCCAACTGTGGAATGGAAGTTTTTTATTAATCTTATTTTTTTTTGAGCAAAAACTATATCTTTTTCTAAAACCAAAAATCCAAGTTTTCTTGGTCTGTGACTCTCCCTCTTCTACTAAATCTTCTCATCTCTTTATTCCATTTTTCACTACAGAATATAGTTAATCATCAACTGCTACATCCATCATAAAGGGCTAAAATTCTAGTTCTTAGCACAAATTTTTGGTTTCGTCATTAATCAATCAATATCAAACAAATAGTTTTTGCAATTATCTATGCGAAGTTATAGTCAAGGCTAATAGAGGTGAGGTCGTTTTGAGTCGTTGAGATAAATCGACTATTGGGAGATACCGGAAGTTCGAGATATATATATGTTATCTATAGATCGGTTTATGCATAAAAATTGTATTTATTCTTTTCAACTACAAGTTATAGTGATTCACACGTTAAGTTAGATAGATAAAATTAGGGTGGGACAAGGTTTTTCCAAATTAAGATTTGAAAATTTATGTTTGGAATCAGTTAATAGAATTAGACTGATCGACACTTTTTTGAATTAGATTCATAAACGTCATAATAGACTGAGAACTCATCAAATAAAACCCTCAATGTCGACGATATACAATTGTAGCATGTTAGTGAGATCTATTGAATTGGATTGAATTGAATTTGAATTGACTTGACCGATTATAAAATTAACTATTTTTGTGACAAACTCAAAACCAACATTTTAAATAAGTTAGCCAATTTAGATAAGAACTGCCTGTGGAATGTTGGTGTCGGCAACGCCTAAACCAATGATAAATGGACACGTGATAAAGTAGAGATCATCGACATTATATTATATTAAGAAGAAAACAAAACTCATTCGTCTCTCTAACTACTTTTGGGCCTAACTGTCTTATCCAAAGAACATTTTTGAAGACTCACTCTCACTCTCACTGATATCACTATCACTATTATTATCACTCTCACTTACTCACTTATCATTATCAGTATCATTAAATAATCATTATACTATTGTTTCTTTTTTCTTTTTTCTTTTTTAGTGAAATGTTATGATCAATTAATCATTACTATTTTATTTATTTTGGAGCTAGGTCTTGTTTCTCTTGTCGACATGCTTACAAAAAACTTATATGGATCGTAATGAGTTATGTTATATTGTTAGATATTTTATTTGTGATATGCCACTAGTGCACTAGGATCTAGCTAGTGAAGGCACTCACGGTATAATTTTTTCTCTAAAAGAATCAATTTAGAGATGTTAAGTTTTGAAGAATTTGATTTTTCGCTCAAATCCACATATAACTATTGTTTTTAGAAAGTGTTAATCTATCCCAAAACTTTTTTTTAGTAAAATCTCACATCTTTTAGATTAATTAGACATGGTTCTAACACCATTTGAAGATCCGTGGACATCCAACTGACATGACAATTACACTAGCGCGATCCAACTTACTCGAAACCTCAAAATTACATAATTTTAGTCAGTCTCAACCGATTTATATTAAATTTCTATTTTAAAATTTTACATAAACATGACTACAAAGTAAGCCAGAGTATTTTCAGGCATTTCTTTACAAGAGTATACGTTATAAACTTTCATCAATCAATATGGTTTTCTTATAAATCCAGATTAATTCAAATGTGATAGCGAAAAACTGAATCTTATTAATTCCGAAAAACAAACACACATCTAAAAAATATAGACCACTTTAATCTAGATATTAGAGTTATTATGGACCTCCATTAACCTACTTAAAACATCATCCATTAAGATATGTACATTAAAGATGGAAGTGAAAGCTTCTCAAACTTAGAAATATGAAATCAACAAATTAATAATTTAATAAACATAAATGATATTTTGTCTAAATCACAAAACATGGATTCATTCAACCAAGTGCGGGTACAAATCGATGTTAATATAGAGTTTAGAAAAAGACATCAATTCCTAAAATTATTTTAAATTATATAGGCACGCCGATATGAAACATTAACTTATCATATTGTGTTTAGGCCTTAGGGACCCTTTTACTGGGCCATATTATTTTATTAAAAAAATACTCCCTCCGTTTCAAAATATAAGGCGTTTTAGTTAAAAGCACGCCGAAGATATACTTTTTAAAAGTTCAGCCAATCATAGAAGAGACTGCATAATAAAAATAATCATAAAATATTAAAATAATATATAATTTGCATGGAAACTTGAAAACGACTTATATTTTGAAACAAAAAAAATTTCTCCAAAACGCTTTATATTTTGAAACGGAGGGAGTAATTATAAATCATGCTATGTTTTACTCTAAATATTAAGATAAAATTGTCGTGAGAGAATAAAAAATGAAAATTATGCGAATCCAACCAAACTAAATAATTCAAGTCTTATAAATGTTATAAAAATAATGAAATAGTTTTTATGAGCTCCCACAAGTATTTTTGTGCTTTATCATTTAACATATATAGAAATTTATATAATAAAAGACAAGAAGTATGATATAGTCCCGATTATTTCCGGACCTGCTCTAGGCTATATGCATTGTATTAACCTCTGTACGTCCCTTGCTTTCTGGTTAGTTACAGATCCTACAGTAAACATCACAAGATTCCTTGTTCCAATGTGAAGACTAATGAAACATGTCTGTAAAATTAGTTGAATGTATAATCTTGGTAAACCCAAAATCATTAAGATGATCAAGGTAAAGAAACAAAAGCCATTGAGGCAAGCTCCAAACATTTATGCTTTGCTTTTGTTCCCAAAAGAATATGAGAAATGTTGCTTAAAAGCCTTGCCCATTATGTTAAGTC